CGGCGAGAGAGAGCGCGCGCGCGCCTACGTAGTGCATGCACACGTATGCACACGAGAACGCTCGCGAAGATCCGGAGATGTGGATACACAGAGACAGACACGATGGTAGGTAACCCCCACGAGACCCCCCTTCGCAGCCACCCCCGTCACCCCATTCCCCCGCGCCTCTGCGCCTCCTCCGCCTCTTCCTCTTCCTCCACCTCGCCTCATCCTCTCTCTCTCTCTGTGGTAGCAAACCTCTCTAGGGGAAAAAGTAGGAAAAGAGTGGGGAGGATCGATTTTTACTGGGGCAACCGCCCTCCTCCCGCATGCACCCTCCTGCATCACCGCGTTCCCTCTCCCACACTCCCTTCCTCTTCCCTCACATCCTGTACTTTCCTGAGCTAGCCATGCCATGCCCTGTCCCGGTCGTAATGCACCGTCTCCGCCCCGGCTAACACCCTCCCCTTTCCTCACCGTTAACCGCCCTCCCGCCCCCATCCTCACCCCCCCCCTCCTGCCGCCCCTCGTTCCTCTTCTCCCCGACGTCCGTTCATCCGTCCTCGTCTCTCCGCGCGCACTTCGGTCCCCCGCAATATTTTTCCTCTTTTTATTCTGCGAAAATATTCAAGAGAGAGTTTCGGATGATGGTGCATGACGATCTTTTACCTCGATGCTTGCCTCCCGACTTCCGTCGGGACGTTAAACACTACGGCGGTCAGGTTGGCGGGGGGTGGCGGCGGATCAGGGGGAGGGGAGGGGGATGAAAAAATTAGAAAATGGCTTTGAGCGGTTTCACCGTGGCTCGCGAAACCGACGAAGCGGCAGCGAAGTATTGAAGAGTTCGGTGATATCTACGCGCTAAACGAGAGAAAACAAAATGCCGGGGGTGAGGAATCGCGAGACTTCACGAGAAATCGCTCACCGTGTATCCTGCGTTTAGTCCTAAAGGGAGTGCGTTAAGGAACGGATTCTGAAATTCAAGCGTCAGTAACGTCATTACGGTCCCATTATCGTTTCCACAAATAAAAATAATTTGATATTATCGTACGAAATCGCTGGTGCTTTTAATGAGTTTCATAGATAATTGCCATTAATCAGCTTATTACTTTCTCATTAGTATTAATGACTTTATGTATTGCGCTCTAATTTTATCCAAAGACAACGATATCGAAATCACGCATCAAATATATCGTTAGTACAATTTTGCGGCTCTGTTTAACGAAAACTTGTTAACGACTATATATGTAAACTAGTTCCACGCGGCGTCACGTCATTGAACGGGAGGCACCGCTAAATGTGAAAATGTAAATTTTAAAGATAAATTATACGCGGAGGATACATGCAATATAATCGGATTAAATTATTGTAATCATAATTCTATTATAAATAGTTGCGCGTATTTCAAGCGCGCGCTACACGCGGTAGTTTCGCTGCAAACGTGCTGATGCAGCGATAGTATTATATAACAATTCATACACTATCATATAAATACAATGAGACATATGTACCGGCCATAATTCAATGTTAATAGAGGCGGGCAACATCAAGTTCAAAATACATTAACATACAAGAGGGGAAAGTACGCTTCTCGAAAGGATTAGGCTATACATTGAGTGACGTTAAGCTGGCATGATAAATGCCGATGAATCTCTAACAATCTGATTTAAATGGAGTCGTAAATATTCTCAGACAACTTTCAACTTATAGATATTGAATTTCTGCACAGTCTATCGCGCATCAAATATGATCTTACAGCGAAGTTACTGCAGAATCACTCGACTGAAAGCCATCGGATATTATTATATAAAACGCTATCCTGTTTCCGCGTGCAACGCGTTATTTTAACAATAAGACAATTATTAATTATTAATTTGTCATAAAAAAAATAAAAAAAAAAAACCAAAGAATCGTCAACTACTTTACTTGCGTTTCAATTGTTCCCACCCCGATCCTGCACGCGCTCCATAATCAACGCATCCCGACTGGACCTCTCCCTCGCATTACTCTTTTTCCGAGCGTGCTCGCGCTTCTCTCTTTGCTAACGGCGGAGCGCCTCTCCAGAATGACAAGGTCAGTAGCTGGCATCGAAGACAGCCGGGGCGATTGTTGAGGTTGCGGATCGGTGTCAAGTAGGCACCCTATGCCATGTGCGGCGGCCCATTCAGTCGTTCGTTCATTCAGAAATATCCTGCCTCCTCTCCCCCCCGCAACGCTCTCTCTTTCTCTCTCTCTTTCCTCGCCATTCAACAAGTAGATCATCGAGCCTATGCGGCACCCTCTACCGTCGGACCTACGCAACTTCCAAGGGTTACGAGCTTGACTGAGGGGGTTGTTATGCAATAAATCCGAGTTCTCTCGAGTCTCCTTCAGGGGCTCGCGCGTCCTGCGGGACTTCCCGCGTCTCTCTTCTTCCATCCTGCTCTCTTTCTTTCCCTCTCTCTCTCTTTCTTTCTTTCCTTCTCTCTCTCTCTCTCTTCTCTCTCTCTCTCTCTCTCTCTCTCTCTCTCTCTCTCTCTC